TTTTTAATATTTTTAAAATTTTATTCTATGTGGTGCTGAGGATCGAACCCGGTGCCCCGCGCATGCCAGGCAAGTGCGTTACCACTTGAGCCACATCCCCAGCCCTCATGTATCTTTTTTGAAGAATTGTCTATTCAAATCCCTTGGTCCATCTTTAAAATTAGGGTATTGTTTTGTTTAGGCAATTGATGATTTATGAGGGTTCTTTATATATTTTGGACTCTAGGTCCTTATCAGATATATGATTTTCGAGTTAGGGGGAATCCCCTCAGTTTTTCATTAGTGTCCTATAAATCATTAAATTTTTTAATTTTGATAAAATCTGATGTATCTTTTCTTTCATTGCTTGTGATTTGTGTGTCATCTAAGAAGCCATTGACTAATCTTATAGCATAAAGAGCTGTTCCCATGTTTTCTTCTAGATGTTTTATAGTTGTAGTCCTTATATTTGGGTCTTCAATCTTTAAGAAAGAAAAAAAAAACCTTAATATGGTGTGAGGCAGGGAACCAGTTCCATCATTTGCACATGGATATCCAGTTTGCAGCATTTGTTGAAGACTGTTCTTTCCCTATTGAAATGTGTCTTTGTTGTTATTGTTTTGAGGTATCAGTGGCAGTAGAGTGCATTTTGACATATCCTGCATACATGGGGTACAACTTCCCATTCTGGTGATGGAACATGGGCATGTATTCCTATAGGAACACAGGAGAATCACGCCTGATTCATTCCACGGTTTTTCCTATTTCCATCCCCCCCTTCATTCCCCTCTGTCTAGTCCAATAACCTTCTGTTCTTCCTCCCCGCACTTAGCGGGAGTCGGCATCCGCCTGTCAGAAGGCTCCACCTTTGGTCTGGGGGTTGGCTTATTCCATTCAGCCTGGTCATCTCCAGCTCCACCCATTTACCAGCAGATGCCATCATTTATGCAAGTGTCTTGACACCCTTGTCCTGCGTCAGCTGACCTTGAACGAAGGGCTTATTTCTGAACTTTAAATTCTAGTCCCCCTCCCCCGTGCCAGCAGCTCCTCTTATTCGTAGAGCCCTGTAGTCAGTGTTAGGCTCAGAGTGTGTAAAGTCTCCAGTTTTGTCCTTTTTCAAGCTTGTTTTGTCTGGGTCCTTTGCGTTTCCATGTGGATTTTCGGCTCAGTTTGAGAATTTCTGTAGAAAACCCCCTTGGGATTCTAACGGGGATCCCATCAACCCTGAGAGCCCTTTGGGGAATATTGCTTTCTTAGTAATATTACAATTGTCCGTGGGCTGGGGCTGGGGCTCAGTGGTAGAGCACTTGCCTAGCATGTGTGAGGCCCTGGGTTCGATTCTCGGCACCACGTTAAATAAATAAATAAATAAATAAATAAATAAATAAATAAGGGCATTGTGTCCACCTATAACTAATGAAAATATTTTTTAAAAGATTACATTGTCCAGTCCACAAACAGGACATCACCCATTTATTTAGGTCTTCTCAATTTCTTTCAATGATGTTTGGTAGTTTTCAACTTATAAATCTTGTACTTTTGTTACACAAATATAGGTAGTAATTTTTTCTGATGATGCTATACATGGAATGGTCTCCTTAATTTCATATCTGGATTATTCGTTGTTAGTGTATACAAGTGAATTGGATTTTGTATATTGATCTCATATCTTTCAACGTGGCTGAGCTTGTTAATTCCGTGTGTGATTGTGCATTCCTGACAGTTTTCCATATACAAGTCCGGTCATCTATGCAGAAGGACAGTATTATTTCTTCCTTTCCAATCTGAAGGACCTTTACTTCTTTTTCTTGCCCGATTTCCTTGGCTAAAACCTTTAGGACCAGATTGAATAGAAGGGATAAGAGCAGAGCCTTTTTGTTCAACCCAAAGGATTTTTTAATCTTCCCTGTGATTTCCTCCTCCATCTCAGTGATTCAGGAGTGTGCTATTTGGCTTCCACACATCTGTGAATCTTCGAGTTTCCCTGTTGCTGATCACCGACTCCTTCCCACTGTGGCCAGGGAACACACTCCCTGATGTCAGTCCCAATGCCTTGACTCTTGTCTCGAAGCCTGACACCTGGGCTGGCCTGGAGAAGGTTCTGGAGACTGTTCTTTTTTTTTTTTTTTTGTCTGTTTCTTTTTTTTTTTTTTTTTATTGTTGGTCGTTCATAACATTACATAGTTCTTAATACATCATATTACACGGTTTGATTCAAGTGGATTATGAACTCCCGCTTTTACC